TTTCCATTGTTCTCTATGATACTTATTTTTAATTCTTTAGAGATGATTGCATTCTATGTGTCATGGCCCTTTGGCAAAACTAGCAGAATATAAAAAGATGAGCCTTTGTTTCTGTGGGAAGCTGGGGATTGATTACTGTAAGGAGCTCTGCAATTTCCTGAAAGCAATCTAGTCCATTCTCCAACTCCTACTCACCTCAGGTTCAACTTGCAGCCCATCTGTACTGTCTGTCCCACAGAAACATATTGGACAAGTTCTATAGGCTGTTCATTAAAATACAGGTCATAATCTGGGCAACATTCTTTATCCACTTGGTATTTCCTGGGTAGATGATCAGGCCAAGACCTTTTCTAGAAAACTATTCAGCCTTCTGGGGTTTGATGCAATCAGCACAACATGCATCAGCAAATAGGAGCATCTAGAGGACCTCACCATCCAGGGAAGTCCTCTTCAACTTGGATTCTGCCCTGAATTTCTCTCGTCAGAGTAGTGAATACAGTCGGCAAGAATGCATCTCTCTGTTTTATGGTTCATCTGATATTTATATCTTTCACAGAATCTTAAATGATTTTGATACATGGATAGGAGATACCTTGTTGGAAAAGGCTTTAAGAAAATATGTTCTACTAAAAGTAGCAGGATATAAAGTAAATCCACATAAATCATCAGCATTCTTATATATCACAAACAAAACTTGGCAAGAAGAGATAGTGAAAGATACCCATTTAAAATATCTCTAGACAGCATAAAATACCTGGGAGTATACCTGCCAAAACAAACCCAGGAACTATATAAATAAAACTTTAAAAAAAAATTTTACACAAATAAAATCAGATTTAAATAATTGGAGAAATATTAAGTGTTCATGGGTAGTCAGGGTAAAAATCAAATGCTAAATCAAATGCTTTTTAAAAATAATTCAGGGGTAGCTAGGTGGCACAGTGGATAGAGCTCCAGCCTTGAAGTTAGGAGGACCAGAGTTCAAATTCAGCCTCAGACACTTGACACTTACTAGCTGTGTGACCCTGGGCAAGTCACTTAACCCCAATTGCCTCACCGAAAAATAATAATAATAATCCAGGCAGATTCCTTAAGAATCTGGCCCACTTGTATCGGTGTCACAAATAGCTCAGACACCTAGGAATCTTGTCCATCTCAACCAGTGTCATAATAAACTTGCTACTTGGACTGAAAGAAGGCTGGAGTGGTCAAATTCTTTTGAAGCAGACCTGCACCCTGTACTTCAGAGTTCCCAGCACCCCAAATCACCACATATTGCAGTGACCCTATTATGGAGAACTGCCTGACCCCCTCAAGCCCTTCTCCCATCAAGACTGGAAGGAACTGTGGGGAGAGAGGAAAGTGAGATGGCCAAGGCAACATGAGATAAGAAGCCAGCCAACCTTGACACTCAATTTGTGTCTTGCAGACTACAGGCCATTCTCCTACAGTTAGTAGGAAACAGTGGGTACCGGCCAATGTCCCCCCGCATCTCTCCTGGATGCAGCCTGTGCTCAGTTCCAAGTCAACCTCTTTTCTGGGATGCCCTCCAGGCAAGGACAGCTCTATGGCCCTTGCCAGCAGGAAGCAATTTCAGAAGTCAAAACCATCACCCCTTACACCAAAATATTTTGGATCCCATTTGAGAGAGGAATGATGGGGATGGGATCTGAACCCCAAAAATGAAAAGACCTTTTCTTTAAGACCTGGACCCCAAAGCCCCTGAACCCAGATCTCTGGTGTTCACTTTAGGAATCCAGCCCATCCCAGTCAATAATGCCTTTTCATTGTGGCCATTGTCTGCACCTGGCCCACCACTCCTTAATCCCATGCAGATCCTCCCACAGACTTTCTGTATAAAAGTACCAATTTCATCCTCATCAAATGCACAGATCCCTAAGAATCTGGCCCCGCTTGTACTGGCATCACAAAAGGCTCAGACTCACTAGGAATCTTACCCACCCCAACCAGCATCATAATAAATCTGCTACTTGGACTGGGGAAAAAAATCCAGTATATATGTTAGGATCTTATACGTTTCAATAAATTGTAAAATGGCAAATAGGATCTACTCCTATTGTTTGCAAAAGCCTGCTTGTTACCTACTACTCTCATCAGGGATGCCCTTGATTCATGTCTAAATGACTCAGAAATAAAGATTTTGTATATATATGGGAGAATAAGCATATTGGTCAGTAGTTGTTTTTTTGGTCACCGTTTTTTAGTATTAAAGAGGTCTGATATATTTCCACCACCTTTGGCCTCTTTCCCTACACCAGACACTTCCTATTTCATGTAAAGTACTCTCAGTGCCCTCATATTGGTCTCCTGCCTGATCAATATCCTGAGGGAAGAGGAGAGGAAGGAAGAAAGGCAAGAGAAGAGGCACAAAGAGGAGGTGGGTGCCTTCACGTATCTCCACATGTCTCCTGCCTGCTCTCCAGCTTCTCATAGGAACGTGAAGTGGAGGTGGCTACCTTACCATCATACCCTGCAAATCTGCCTGTTCTCCAGCCTTTGAGAAGAGAAGCACTATTTTATCTTAACAATCCCTTATTGCTGAGATGTGGGGAAAGGGGGCCATTCCATCTAGCTTCCAGACTAGTTTCCTGCCTTGGGGAAAGAGAGTATCAACACTCCTACTGCCTTTGAAAATCTCTAAATTTTTCACTTAAGGATTAACAAGCTCCTACCTGGTCATACCTTCCACATCCCAGTGATTCTGAATGCCTATAGATCATCATCCAAAACCCATTCCCCATCTCCCACTACCTGATTCCTTATTCCCATTCCCCCCACTCCCCCTAAGTCTCAACCAAATGCCAACCACCCCTTCCACTGTGCCCTTGGAATGTCTGCTCCATAGGCAACAAATTTGCTTTTATCTTAAATCTTTTCAATTTCCGCTCCTTCCATCTTCTGGTTCTCCCTGACCTGTCTCCCTCCCTGACACAGTCTTTGTGGCTACCCTTTCCAGCACTGGATGGACTTTAACTCATTCCCTTCAATTCACTGGTCAAGGGGGGGGAGTTGGAATATTCCTTGCTCCCCACTGCAACTTCCAGGTTCTTCCCCTACCATCATCACTCAGTAATGTCTCTTCCTTTGAGGTCCATACAATCCACATCTACCACCCAATCAAAATCCTGGTACAGATGAAATCTACAGAGCTCCCAAACATTGCCCTTCCTCAGTGATTTAGGTACATGGCTCACAATCTTTTTTCTCCAACTACTGCCCTTATACTAGGGGACTTCAACGTATATATTGACTCTCCCTCAAACACCCTATCCTCCCAATTCAATCTATTCATTTCCCAGGACCTACTCTACCCTCACCTCAGCCACACCCCAAAATAGTCATACTCTTGATCTTGCCATCACTCACACAAATGCACCACCTCCATGTTCATGAATTCTGAAATTTCTTTATTTGGTATCACCCTATGTCACGGTCCTCTCCAATAACTGAGGACAAACCACCTATCTACTCTTTGATGCGGTGACACTGGCCTCCTTGCTGTTTCTTGAACAAGGCATCCCATCTCCTCTGTTCAGCATTTTAACAGCTGTCTCCTATGCCTGGAATGCTCTCCCTCATATCCACCTCCTGGCTTCCAGTACCAGCAAAAATCCCACCTCGTAAAAGATTCTGTGGCTGTGCACTGTTGTAACACCCTCTTGTTCTTTCCTTTTTATCTTGTTTGCACTGAAGTCATTTGCATGTTAATTTTGAGCTCCTTGAAGGGAAGGACTATCTCTTCCCTTTCTTGGGATCCCCCAGGGCTTACCACAATGCCTGACATTTCTTCAGTCATGGCCAACTTCATGATTCAGTGGCCCATAGCGGTACCAATACTGTTCAGGGATTCTTGGCAAGCATAATGGAGTGGTTTGCCATTTCCTTCTCCAGTGTACTGAGGTTGTGACTTGCTGAGGTCATATGACTGAGGTCACATTTGAACTCGAGTCTTCCCGCCTTCTGCCCAACATTCTATCCACTGAGCCACCAAGCTGTCTTAAGCAACAAAGACAATAAATGCTCATTGACTTCTTGCTTCCTCGGTATACCCTTGGTCCTACTGGATGCTTTTCCCATGTCTTTAGTGTCATTTTTATCTCCCTTTAAGTACATCTGGGACTGTTAAGATCCAAGTGTGGTTGTTCCATTGTCGTTGATGTTTTAGTAAACTTTAAAGCTATATACTTTTTTCCTGTTATTCTCCAATTGTCTTCATGTGTCTTTGGGACAACTTTGCATAGTTGGATCTCTTGCCAAGCTTCCTTTAAATTGTTTCTATCCTCCACTTCATGACATGATAGTGGCCTATCATCCATCCTTCTGCTTAAATCCAAAGGCGCTTTCTGAGCTCTCTGGCTCTTAAGACAAATGGAGATACTCATGCTGAACCTTTGCCAGGCAACCTGGGCTCAAATCCCGATATTTAATAGCTGTAATGTTGGGCAATCATTTCACTTCTACTGGACTCAGTTCCTTATCAATAAAATGAGAGGGTTGAACTAGATGGACCCTAAGGTCCCTTCCAGCTGTTGTTTTGTCATTTCTGACTCTGTGACCTCTTTAGCAAAGACATTGGAGTAATTTGTCATTTCCTTCTCCAGCTCATTTTACAAATTGGGGCAAACAGGGTGACTTGTCTAGGGTCACATCTAGTGTCTGAGGCTACCTATCTACCACAGTTCAATTTCTGTATAAAACTGTAATTGGTCTCAATGGCAATTGCTGCCCATTTCTCACTTCTTTTTTGCTAATTACTCGTTTCAATAGTTCAAGTTGTTCTAGTTGTATACCATCTTTTTCTCTGTAGAATGTACTAACTCTGATCTCTGCCCTATCACATGATTTACCCCCAGACAGCTGACTCAATAACATTACTAACAAATAATCTATTTACTTTTTATTTGGTGCTTGCCTTGTCTGGCACCTCATAAATGTCTGTTAAAATTAATACAAATTTCTAACAATAAACAGTCACAAAATCAGTCTTCTGATTTTATTATTTAAGCTTACATCATTCCTAGACTTAAAGCAGAAAAAAACCCAAAACATTTGCTTTCTGGGAACATGTGCTGTTTTTGTACTATTTGGGGTAAGGTGATTCCATTATGTTAACTTGAAATAAGGTACAAGACATGTGATGTGTTCATTTTATTTAGTAATATCCATACCATGTTATTACCACGGAATGTAAATCCATTTTAAACATTAGAATTCCACAAGTATAACAAAGCATTTACTTAAATATGTCAACATTTGTGTAAGGAGAATGCTGCCCATAATATGAAACCATCAAATCTAAAGGACAGTAATGTATTTCAGTTGGACTACACTCTTGATAGAGAAAACAAAATACTAATACTGCACATTTTAAGAGTTCTCTTTACTGAACAAGCACTTCAAATACATATAAAACAGATGGCATTTAAAAAACAATTTCAATATGGAAGCAGCAAAAATATAACTAAGCCATACCATTTGTTATTCTCATCTTTTACTAACTTTATAATAAATACTACTGCATTAAGTAGCCTGGTTAGCAACTGTTCAAGGCTCATCTCAAATACAAACAAGTTGTCTATGGTACAGGTAGAGAAGAAAACTCTTGCTACAATATTTTATTTCATGTTTTTCTTACAGATGTTCTTTTGGCTCTAGTCAAAGCCAGGCAGCCCTTAGACACTGAAGTTTCCACCATTCTACAAGATAAGGAGGAAGTGTTTCCTGAATTGTGTTAAAGCAGCTTCCTATATTATATCCCAAAATATGTCCCATTCTAAAGCAAGAGGAGCTACATTAAGTCTTGGCCCTGTAATTTTTTAAGTCATTAATTTTTGAGATTGGAGAAATATGAATATAATTTATCACCCAAGTAAGCTTCAATGACCAGTTCCTTTTGCACTAACTTAGCTCTCCCTCATTAACTCTTGGATACCAATCAGTATACCTTGAATCACCTGGGAAACTAAAGCTTCCATAAAAAAAAAAAAATCCAATCTTTAGAATATCATGATTGGGTTGTGTCTGACATGTGCTGCTTTTTTAGAACCACATATCCCTAAATTGATTTATTTTTAAACATAAAACAAATAACCTCAATGTGAGGTATCTAGCTCTAAAACATCAGCATGAAGACAGCATCTTTCCTAAGGTTTGGGTTTTGCCCAGTATTCCCGATACATGGAGTACAACATACCTAAAGAAAAAAGACAAGGTAGTTAGAATTTTAGCCTGGTTTTCTATATGAAATAAACCAAGCCATTTTTAAAATTGGCCACAACAAGCAACACCACCAAGAAAAGTTTACACAAGGAATCAGGACACTGAGCACCCTTCCATTTTCATCTTCCTTTACTATCTTAAGGATTATAAATTAAACTCTTCATAATTCCCTAACTAGCTCATGAGGTTACATGATCATAAGGACAAAATTATTTGTTGGCTGCCAAAGCAGCATAGACAAATCATAAATCTTCACCTCTAGAAAAGACCTTAGAAATTATCTAGTCTAGCCTCATTTTATAAATGAGGAAACTGAGACTAGAAGTGACTGATCCTAGGCTGCACAATGTGTATCAGAGACAGGATTCAAACAACCCAGGTATCCTGACTCCAAGTCCAGGACTTTTTGTAAAGAGGCATCCCTGGTATTTATCAAGTGACAAACTGAAATTCAATAAATGCCTCTTCTCATCTAATTCTTAATTCCTCCCTCCTAACGTAAACCCATGTATAATGCTAACAGACATTTATCCCATGAATGCTACCAATCCTGGTAAAGCATTTCCAATACATTAAAAATGTAGAATTTCATCCACATGGATGATCCCTGTCAATGTAAATTGCAGGCCTTCACCTCAACAGTTTCATCAGCTGCTGCTGCCAAAAAAATTTCATCACCTGATAACCAACCCTATGTTTATGATCTTCACCAAACTTAGAGAGGCTGGGCCTCAAAAAAATGGCCACACTCTTTGGTCAGGTTAGTATGTAAAACCTTTCCAGGTTAGTAAAAACTCCAAAGCTTCTGTTTCATTGGCACAGCCTTTGAGAAACCAAGGTCACTTCTATACCAAAAGGAGGGTCAGAAGGAGAGAATGGTGTTTCTAATACTTATGCTTATAGATATTTGCTCAGTATCGTGCATTAGAGTATAGTATCACTAAGGGAAAGGATTAGTTTTTTTCCCCCCTCTCCTTCCTGTTTAATGCTTCATTGCTCCTAGTATAACAGTGAAATCTGTTAGGTGACCAATTACTTAATTCAGCAATTCAGGTGTGAATAAAAGCCTACACTAGGGCAGTAGCAGTGAGACTAAAAAGCATAAAGGGCAGTAATTTAACAATGTAATTTTCATTAATTTGAAGATGTCATGATTACTGTATACATACCACAATCAGGAAAAATATTCCTTACCATTTTAAACTGCTTAAAGATTACTTTGTAAACCCAAGATTGGAGACTTTTCAAAGACTATGAAGGGCATGAGATTTAGAGCTGGAAGATCTTAAATATTACGGTTCAAACCCTTCATTTTATAGATGAGAAAACTGAAGCCCAGGGTAACTGACACCCAAAATTCTACAGGCAGTAATAATTATGAATGTAAACCAAGTTATTCTGCATTGTGTTAAAATTTAACAGTGGTTCCCAAAGTGGGTGATACTGCCCCCTGGGGGGCACTGGAACAATCCAAGAGGGGCAGTAGTAGCCTACAATGCAATTGTACACTTAAATCTAAGATTTCTTTGCCCAAATAACTTTGGGAACCTCTGTGTTAAACAATCAACCGATTAAAAGTCATTTAGTTTTTGGATGCAAAAGATACTAACAAATATCTGCAGGAATCTTTCTAAACATTTACCTCATTCTTTTTTTTTCTTAATGATATGCATTAATAAGGAACTTTATTGGAGAATGAAATGTTTGCTGTGGAGGACCTACCAACAGTCATTGCTCCTACTACAAAGCCTTGGGCTCCCACACGCATGTGAATCAGGTGGACAGACATTTTAGTATCCCCTCTGCTCTTCAGTTTGTATAATCCATATGCAACAATAGCTGCAAAGCCTGCTATTCCTGTAAGGCAAAGAGTCAACAGGTAATACGCAAGCCAAATGCATAAAGAAAAAAAAGAGCAAGTATCAGATCTGTGAACAAATAACTAGATAACTATCTTCTATACTTCACCCAATGGATTAGTGTTACCTATGTTTACGTCTTATACTACTACTAGACTATTGAGTTCCATGAGGAAGAATTTGCCTAAACTTTGTATTTTGCCTATCATGGTGCTCTGCACTCCATACAGCAAGTGCCAGCTGGATGAATCAATCAACTAAATTATATATGCAGTGCCGCTTACAGACACAGCCAAGGCCCTCTCCTTTACTTGTCCCTGCTATATCCCCAGGCTATGACCCTATCTCTTCTCTCTTTACAGCCAAATTCTAGAAAGTCACCTATATTCACAGCCTCCAATCTCATCAATTCTCACAAGTCAAATTTTAGACCCAAGCACTGAACTAAACATGCCCTCTCTAGTTACCTACAAGTTCTGACCTGCCAAGGCCAAGGGCCTTTCCTCAGTCCTCACTCTACCTGATCTCCTAACTTTTACAACAGTCCATTACCCCTTCTTCTGTCTGCTGCAGGAGGAGGTGCACCATCTGGAGCTGAAGGGCCTGGGACTGAGTTCCGGTTCGGCCACTCAAGGTGTGACCCTGGACAAGTCACTCACCTCTCTCTCATTTTGAAGAGATGGACTACTAGGCTTCAAAGGCTGCTTCCAGCTCCAAATCTATGACACGGTGATCTTTCACTGGCTTCCATGACACCGTTCTATCGTAGTTCTTCTCCTGAGTCCAATCATTCTTTCTCAGCCATCTTTTCTGAAGTAACAACTTGTTTTCCACCCAATAGGTGTGACCATCCCCAAAAGCTCTGTTCTCACTCACCTCCTTTTTTTATACTTCCTCCTTATCTCACCTCATCAGCACCTCTGAGTTACCATCATTAAGTTATTGTCTTTACATAGTTATAAGCTAGTAGAGATGTAGGAGGTCATCTAGTCAAACTCCCTCAATTGCTGAGATGAAGACCTGAGGTCTACAGAGGTTAAATAGATTCCCTGAAGTCACACAGGTAGTAATCAATCAGGGGAAATTTGAACTCAGGATCTCTGAACCTAGAGCCAGTGATCTTTCCACCAAACCATGCTGCCTGTGTGCAGAGGAATCCCAGATCCAGAGCCAACCCTAATCTTTCTCCACAACTCCAGGCCCATATCACCAATTGTGGGCTGGACAAATAACTCATTTTTTCACAAACTTATCCCAACTCCAACTTATTTCCATTGATGGCACTGTCTTTCCATCAACCCAGATGTACAACCTTTAAGTAACACCTGATTCTTCCCTCTCCCTTACATTGCTACCAATTGCAATTCATTACCAGTCAATGGATTATCATCACCATCTTCATATCTTATGAGATTGAGTCTCCCTATCTCACCCAGGCTGGAAGTGTAGCAGGCCTGATTTCCCTGATGGGTCACCATAAAAGCTTTGGCCTGTTCTGTTTTCCAACCTGGACCAGAAATCCTGGTACCCACCCCACCCCACAGCCCCATCTCAGGGGTTCATCATCAGGGTCAAACTTAATGCAGAAACTTGATTACCTTTAACTCTATTTCAGCTCAGAACTACTAAGCTCAAGAGAGCCACCAGCCTCAGCCTCTACAAGTAGGAGGGATTACAGGTCTACGTTATCACATCTGGCCAATAAAATCATTTTAAAGTCTAATGACTAGAAATGCAAAATCTTAATTAAAGTCTTAAATATACTTTGGGCCATTTTCAGAATGGAAAGAATCTTTAAAGGGAATATACGTGCTAGGTTCCCTAAACTGAAATGGTGAATCAACAATGATCAAAACCAATGTTTTGTACATTATGTACATTATTTACAGCTTATCAAAGCAAATGCCATAGCAAAATCTCCTCATAGATTTCCAAGTCCTTGGATTTCAGGGAAAAAAAACTAAAAGGAAATTTTAGAGACATAATGAGAAAAGTGGCCCCCAGTTAAGCTCAGTGACCTGCTCAAAAGTCACACAGCAAAGCTGAGATTAAAATTCAAGGTTCCTTTCCTGATGGAAACCCTGTCTACAGCTCCTTCCACTATATCATGCTGCTTTTCTGATCTTACTCAAGTTAACAGGCAACATAACAAAACTCTGGTACATAAGAATTCTAGTCACAAAATTCATACAACTACTTGTTCTCACTGCATTTTAAATAGCCAAGATATCTAAAAAGAAATGCATCTAGGAACTGTTTGAATAGAACTGATGTTTCAATGCATACCATTTTACTGATAAATTGTTTTGTCACAGGTAGACTCACCAATTGGGACAAATGGTGCCTCTTTAGCTTTTCGAGCAAGTTTTGATCCTGAAGTCTCATCATAAGTGGAGAGGGAAACATCATTGTCTGCTGACATTGTAGCTGGTTGAAGAGCCTTCCTAAAAGAATTTGAAAGAGATTTTACATTTCAAAAAGTACCTTAAAATACAAAAGGTTAAGGATGTACTTCAAAGTGTGTCTAATTTTGATCTTTCGTTAATTTTTTCTAAACTCTTCTTGAACAACATTTGCCTAAATGTCAGGCTGAAATTTCTAACACTTAAAGTTCAGTTTTCAGAATAGTACCTCATTAAGAATTCAAACTTTTTTCTTACATATATAAAAAAGGCCAATGACAAATACAGAAGTTCACTGTCCTTGAACTTAAGACTTAGAAACTATACTTCACCTATCATTCAAACATTTGACATGATGCAGAAAGAATGCTTGTTATGAGTATTAGCAATTTGCTTCCTTCAAAAAACCAAAATCAAACAGTTGCTTAAAAAAAAAAAATAAAGTTTTCAGAGAATCATCTACCCAAAGAAAGGTTCATTTCCAAATAAGGATTAGCAAAATATACTAAAACTGGAAGGGGAGAGTAACATTAAAAAAAAAGTGGGGTGGGAAGGGGAGGAAAAAGTGGGTTTTTAGCATGCCATAAAGAAGTCAAATGTGCTGTGCCTAAAATTTTTAGTTAATTTTAAAACTTAATTAGCTCACATCCATGGACACCTATCTGTTGGCTGCTACTATTGTATAACTGAGTGCCTCCAGACTTCATGCTAATAATAGTTGGATTAATTACTAATTGTAAAAAACTGCAGCCTGCACACATTTCTGATCAAGTGTCTCACTCTGAAATTAAAAAATGTTAAAAATCTATTCCAATTGAAGGAAGCTTTGCTAGTGAAAGCCTATCAAGCACAATATCTTCTCCTCAAATTTGAGGGCCTTTGAAAACTATGACAACCCGAACTGATAAACTTCTTCAATCCAATCATCCCTGAAATCTTTTCAATTAAGTACTAATCCACACAACTTTGCTCCATTCAATTGCTACTATTTCTGCTCATCTCATCTACTTTGTGCTACCCTTGCCTCATTTCCCCCTTTTCTTACATGTCCCCACCCCTCTGTACCATTTCTCAACTCCTTTCTAACCTTCTTTCTCTCTCCTCCATGGTCTGCTAGCATTCATTACTTCACATTCTTCAACGTGCTCCTGCTAATCCTCCATTCCCTAAGTCTTTGTAGTCATTCAGCCTCATCCTACCTTTCAGAACAGAGAAGAATAAAGCAACAAAGTGAAATGCTATTCAGGATGCTGAACTATGGGGTAGCTAGGTGGTGCAGTGGATAAAGCACCGGCCCTGAAGTCAGGAGGACCTGAGTTCAAATCCAGCCTCAGACCAAACACTTGACACCTAATAACTGTGTGACCCTGGGCAAGTCACTTAAACCCAATTGCCTTTCAAAAAAAAAAAAAAAGGAATATGCAGGATGCTGAACTGTGCAAGGATGAGAACCAGTTCACTCATGATTGAGGTCCCAAATATAAATAGCCTTTGCACTGAATTCCAGCCCCAGACAAGAAAGAAAATGTCTGGGTCCTGAGGCTACTTGTTGCTTTTGGGAATTAGGGCCTATTCAAATGCACAGAACATGTGGAACATATACAGGACAAGATCAAAGAGTGGCTGATTCTTGGATAAAGCATAGCTATCCTAAAAAATAATGCTTTTATACCTGCTTACTCCAATGGATCCTCAATGGATATCCAAGGATATCATTTTCCTCAGCTTGGAATTCAAGGTCCTCCACAATATGATCCTACCATTACTGACCACTCTTACTGCCCTCGGATTCACAGAAGCCTCCTAGAGTTGGCTAAGACCATATGCTATCTACCTTTAAATCCCTCGCTTCACAGAAAAGGAAGCTAAGACCTGAGGAAGTTGTAACTTGCCTAAAGTTACACAATACAAATGAGCATTACTCACTCTTTGTATTTAGTCTTATTTTGCCTTGTCTTTACCAGGTGAGAAGTGATGAGGAACCTGAACCAGGGTGGTGGCTGTGTAAATAGAAGGAAAAGGACAATTAAAGATGACAGAAACAATGAAATTGAGTCAACAGACTGAATACATAGCATAAGAGTGAGGTGAGGGTATCATCAAGGTTGTAACTGGAGAGTAGTGTTTTATTAGGAAATTAGGAAAATGAGTGGGTTTGAGGAAAGATGATAAGTTCTGTTTTAGACATGTTGAGTTGAAGATGCCTAGGCAACTGTGATTCAGGGCTGTAGTTGAGGAGAAAAGACAGGACCCAATAAATAGATCTGAGAATTATTTGTATGAGATGATAACTGAACTCTTGGATACTGAGGAGAAAAAGCCCAGGAGAGAACCTTTGGAATTAACAAAGAACATGAACATGAAGATGGCATGAAGAACCATCTGTGTACTTCTCAACATGTACTTCTCTAAGTTTCAATTTCCTTATCTGCAAGAAGTTGACTAGATCAATGCTGTTAAAACAGAATTACATAAGGATCCCTGTGGCTACATAATTGTCTTAGAAAACCACCTATTAACATTTTCTATGTTCTATTATATTTTTTATTTTGTTAGATATTTCCCAATTTAATCTAGTTCCAAATGTGTAGGTGGACTGCCTATGGATTAGATAATCTCTAAATTTCCTTTCCTGCTCTAAATCTCACATTCCTAAGTCAAACCTCTCATTTTAGAGTTGAGGAAACTGTGACCCAAAGATGAATTTATTTGCCCAATGTTAATTAGCAGAGCAGGTACCAGAATTCAAGTTTCCAAACTTCTAGTTCAGTGTTCTTTAAAACCACAAGGCAAAATAATTGATTTCCTGATGTTGGTACAAAAATAATTTCAAAAGCTATCAAAACATGCCACTTTAATTTTCACCTGTGAGAATATACATAATAAATATCACCCCTTCCAGACCTCACACACCTATGAAGCAAAAAAAGGATATCACGGATAGAAAAGGGAGGCTAGTTTTTCTTGCCTAAAAATAAATCATTCCAGGGCAGCTAGGTGTTGCTAACCCTGGAGTCAGGAGGACCTGAGTTCAAATTAGAACTCGGTTACTACCTGTGTGACCCTGAACAAGTCACTTCACCCTGTTTGCATCAATTGTTCATCTGTAAAATGAGCTGGAGAAGGAAATGGCAAACCACCCCAGTCTCTCTGCCAAGAAAACCCCAAATAGGGTCACCAAGAGTCCAACACAACAGAACAAGTTAAGACTCATGTAAAGCTGGATCACTTTATGATCTTTTATTTCTGCCTTCTAACCCATCCGTTGGAAAAAAAACTTAAATCTGATTATTCCTGAACTGACTCTCAGAGGAAGGAAGTAGGGCAGATACTTAGCACCAAAAGAAAAAGGGATTGGAATAGCTGGGACTATAAAAAATCTTTAACATGTCCCAACTACAACAGTATCCCAGCCAGAGCTACCATTAAAGGAACAAAAGATGGCAGGCCTTTCCCTCTGACGTCTAGCCAGCTGGAGAGGTTCACAGTTCACACCTTTTAACTGACACTGGCCCCTACCTACTCATCTTCCAAACAGGATCACAGGGTAGCAAGCTAATAGCAAGCACTTAGTAAATGCCTGTTGTTTGAATGGTAGATTATCGTTGCCACCTCTAAGAGGCCCACCGCCATTCCGGGAGTTAGGAGCTGAACAAACGTGGTCATCAGAATTAAAAAGCCTCCTAGAAACCAAACAACAATTGAATGGAACCCCAGAACTAAAGAAATACTGCTAAATCATGCTGGTCCCTCACAATTTCAGAGGAAACCATGAGGGGGAGGATTTTTATTTAGCCACTGATGGGGTAGGAGTGGAGGTCTGGGTGCCTGCCTCCACATGGGGCAGAGATGGGCCACATACAGGGGGTGAGCGGGGATATATGCCAAAGAAAAGTAAGGAGAGAGGAGACTTTTCCATTCAGACCTGTGCTGGCCCCTCAGGCCTATCCACGACCTTCCCTCACCTCCCCCATCTCCCATGACCTTGTCCAACTTTCCAACCTGCTCCTCGGGGCCCTCTCGGTTTCCTGCCTTCCTCAGGAAGGGGCTCCCGTGGTTCCTCCCCTAATAAAACAACCCTCCCCCTGCTCAGGGCCCACTGGGCTCCCCCAGGCCAGTAAGAGACCCTCCCCCAGTAAAAGTCCCCACAAGCAGTTCCCTCTGCCCCCCACAGCCAGGATCCCCCCTGCTCCCGACCGGCCAGATAACCGCGGCCGTTCGCCCCCTATGCCTTCACCCCGGCTCCGTCTCTGCGCTCGTGATCCCCGAAATCGTCTGTCTCCTAGCCATGCGCCCTCTCCCCTCAGGCCCTACCTCCCGCGTCGCTCACCCGCGTGCCTCTCCCTTAGCTCCGTTCCCCGCAGGCCTTTCAACCGCCCTGCCCTCCTCTCCCCCAGGGTGCCGTCACGCGCCCCTTCCCCCTCTCTCCCCAAGCCCCCTTCCCCGAGGGGTATCTCTCCTCCACCCGGCCGGCCCGCACACCTCCGGTGCCCACAAACCCTCACTCACAGAACGAGAGGAAGCAAAACCACCTCCCACAAGCAGCCGGCCGCTTCTGCTTCGCCTCCAGCTTCCCCGTCTACTTCACGCAGACTAGCGGCGCCCGAGCAGGCTCAAAGTAAAGGGGCGGGGCATCCGGTCGGCACTCCCTCCTCCGGAATCCCCGCCCCCACCACCGCGGGGCGGAAGCGACCAATAGGGAAGGGCGGGGCGGGGCTAGAGGATGCCTGGGCCGCGAGGAAGGGGGAACCCGGAGCTGAGCCCGCTAGCCGCGCGCAGGCGCAGTGGAGGCCGGTCCCCCTCCCTCTTCAGCCGCGACCCTGGAGCCTCCGAGGTGAGATCCCTCCCCGAGCGGGTGACCTCTCTTGGGCCCTCCCGGGCCGAACCCGGAAACAGGATATTTTTAGGGGGCAAGACCGGGCTGTCAAGGTCACCTGGCCTGCCCTGGCCTGTCCTGGCCTGTCCCGGCTACGTCATTCGTCACACGCCCTGTTCCCAGTAGTTGGGCGGAAACACCGAGTCCTGGGAACTCACGTACACACGCCGTGGGCGGAGGGAGGCTTGGGGCCCGGGAGGTGGAAACCTCTCGGCTTATCATCCCTGCTTTACCGGGCTGGAAACTGAGGCCGGGACCAGTGAAAACATTCCGCAAGGTCTCAGCTGCGCCTGGAGGCTCTCCTGCCTCCAGCTAGGTGTCGCTCAGTGAGTAGAACGCAGGAAGACCTGAGTTCAAATCCTCCCTCAGACTCCAGCTGGGTGGACCTGAGCAAGTCACTCACCCCTACGGAGGAGAACTCACTCTCCTCATCTGTAAAGTGGGCATGATAATAGTATCCACTTCCCAGGCTTGTTGTGAGGGTCGCCTGAGGTAAGATGTCATATTCACAAACCCTAAAGTTATTGCTAATTATTATCATTATTATTATTAGGGCAGCTAGGTGCATTTAGTGCTGGCCCTGGAGTCAGGGGGACTTGAGTTCAAATATGGCCCCAGAAATTAGCTGTGTGTGATCCTGGGCAAGTCACTTAACTCCATTGGCCTCAGTTTCCTCTTCTGTAAAAATGAGCTGGAGAAGAAAATGGCAAAACACTCCAATATCTTGCCAAGAGAACCCCAAATGGCCTCACGGATAACAATAATTCTTATTACTCCAGCCCCACTAAGCTCTCCCGTACACCTAGCTGCCATTCCCCAAACAAAGTCTCCCTCCAGGAGACCCAGAGCCCCACAGAAAACCAACTCCAGATTTTTAAACCTTTCCCAGAAATAACGTTTTGGCTCCTTCCCAACCCCATTCCTGCATCATCCCAGAATTGGGCACAGCTGTTCCTTGGGGTCGCTTCTACTGCCCTTTCTGTCCCCTGAGTGTTTTCAGTCCAAGTCCCCTGCTGAAACAGACAGCAGTTTCCATTTTCCCTCTCTTCCAGCTCTCAAATATTTAAGGGGTTTGAGGCTAAAAGCTTTGTTTAAAATAACAAAACTAAAAAAGGAAAGTTACAGAGTTGAAACAGATCTTAAAACTGTTGAAATAAATATTCAGGAAGATTAATGTCCCGTACTACTCTAGATTTTCTAAGTTGTTAGGCTTTATAAGATGATAGATGTGCAGCCCGGAGGGACCTCAGACATCATCCAGTCCAGTAATATCAAACTCAGATTGGGTATGGGAAGGAGCACTGATGTGTACAGAAGAATTCCTGCAGGCCACAGTTTAACTTGGTTTTAAAATGTGATGTCATCTAGGCCCTATTGTATTTTTATCTATTTAATTAAATATTTCCCAATTACAATTTAAACTGCTGGTATGTCTCTTGCTTATGATAACTCTGATCTAGTGTAATTAACCCCTCATTTCTGAGGCCCAGAAGGATTAAGGGCCTTGGCCAGTATCAAACTTCTCCGGATTTGGTCCGTTACCACTGCACTGCACTGCCTTTTAAGGCTTGAAATGCTGAGGAAGACTTGACTTCTCTGCTCTTTTCACTGACTCAGCTTTTGGTCTTTGCCTCAAAATCAGCCTTATGAGGGAATGAAAAATACTAATAAACCAGAGCTTTACTTAGCACATTTTTTTTCCATCCTAGATTGACCATCATTTAGAGATTGGTTTAAGGAACTAGGAATGTTTAGACTGAAGAAGACTGGGGAATTCAATGATCCTCATCTCCTGGTATTTGAAGAACTATCATAATGAAAAGGGATTGTTTATTCCCAGAGGGCAGCAATAGGATTGTGGGAGAAAGTTAGAGGGCCTCCAAATAAAATTAAACTTCCTGACAATGAGAGCTGACCAGAGGTGGAATGGGCAGCCTCTGGAAATCACTCCCCAGCACTGGAGGGCTTTAAACAGGTTCCATGATCACTTAAAGAAACTACAGAGATTATTTCTGCTCAGGACTGGAGGCCTCAGAGATCTCTTCTGGCAGTGAGAGTCTAGTCTTCATTTTAACCACAGAATTGATTTGGCAGACAGAATTTACAAGGCTCTTGGCCCCAATTTCTTTTTCTCACCTCAATCCTATCTGAATTGGCTACCAGATTTGGCAGGGGTCCCAGACCCTTGAACCTGTTGTCTGCTTCCTTTTTTTTTTTTGATTGGATAAATGGATTTTAATTTATTTATTTTGATTTATCAACAATCACTTCCATAAGCTTTTGAGTTTTAAATTTTTTCTCCCTCTCCCTCCCCAAGATGGTGTATAATCTGATATAGGCTATACATACACATTCCTATTAAACATATTTTCACATTAGTGATGTTGTAAGGAGGAATTAGAACCAATAGGAGGAACCACTAGAAAGAGGAAACAAAACACAACAGAGGGGGGAAAAAAAGCATATAAAAGAATATCCATCTCCTCCCCTGAAAGATCATGCTCATTTTTCCTGAGTTGACTTCTTTCTTAAGATTTGGGTCCTCAAACCATTTCCTTTGAATGAAATTCATGAATGATAAAGCATTTATTAAATGTCTAGGGCAGCTAGGTGGCATAGTAGATAGAATGCTGGGCTTGGAGTCAAGGCAGGCTCGTCTTAAGTTCAAATCCGGCCTCAGACACTTCCTAGCTGATTGACCCAGGGCAAGTCAGTTAACCCTGTTTGTCTCAGTTTCCTTATCTGTAAAATGAACTGGAGAAGAGAATGGCAAACCACTCCAGCATCTTTGCCAAGAAAACCTCAAATGGGGTCATGAAGAATCAGACACAACTGAAACAACTGAACAATACTGTCAAATACTGCTAAGGGCTGGGGATGCAAATAGAAAAGATGACATTGTCCTGGCCTTCAAGGGACTCACATTCTAATTGGGTGAAAAAAACACATTAACCCTTACCGTGTGCCAAACACTGTGCTAAAGGCTAAAAATCTTGTTAAAAGTGAATTTTGGGAGAGGACATAATTCTATCTTGTTCTATATCAGCCATTTTGCTGCATATGACCCTCACGAACTGCCAAACCAGCTGCAGCAGCTGGTATCTTTCAGTGTCTTCTTTCCTCGTCTTCTTAGTACAAAAAGACTTCGTTGCTGAAGGTAGAAGATTCCAACCCAGTGAAAATGAGCATGATCTTTCAGAGGGGGAGATAGATATTCAACGAAATAGGGCACTTTCAAACCTTCCTGATAGAAAGACCAGAGCTCAACAGAAAATTTGATCTTCAGATACAAGACTCAAGAGAGACATAAAAAGGTAAAGAGGACAGAAAGAAACAACATGTTATTAATAAGGGCAAACTGTTTACATCCCTACAAGGGAAGATGACGCTTGTAACCCTTGAGAACTGTATTGTTATTACACCATGTTAAAGAGGTATACATAAAGGGGGGGATAAATTGACTTTGATGTAATGATAAAAAAAACTAATCAAGTGGGTTAAATGGATCCAAGTAAGTGGGTTAATCTGATCTAAGAAAATGTAGTGAGAGAAAAGGAAAAGAGGAGACAGACAAGGGTAAATTACATTACAGGAAAAGGCACAAAAACCTATTACAGCAGAGGCAAAGAAGGGAGGGAGATGAGCATTGTTTGAACCTTACTCTCATCAGATTTGGCTCAAGAAGGGAATAATGTAATCAGGTATAGAAATCTAACTTGCCCTATAACAGTAGGAGGGAAAAGGGGACAGAAAAGGGAGGGGGGATAGAAGGGAGGGAAGAAGTAGTAAGGGTAAAGGGGAGGAAAACGGAGGGGGCTAATAGAAGGGAGGCAGTGGTCCCCACTGGTGAGGAGGGAAAAGGAGAAAGAAAAGCATAAACAGGCAGGGAAATAGGATGGAAAGACATAGATAGTAATCATAACTGTGAATGTGATATGTGAATGTAATGGAATACTATTATGCTATAAGAAATGATGAACAGGCTGACTTCAGAAAAACTTGGAAGGACTTGTGTGGTCTGATGCTGAGTGAAGTGAGCAGAACCAGGAGAACGTTGTACACAGTAACAGCCACGTTGTGAGATGACTAATATTGATAGACTTAACCCTTCCTGGCAATACAAGGATCTAAGACATCTCCAAAGGCCTCATGATGGAAAATGCTATCCACATTCAAAGAAAGAACTATGTAGTTTGAATGCAGATGGAAGCATACTATTTGCTAGTTTTTTTCTTCTGTTGTGTTTTGTTTTCTCTTTCTGGGGGTTCCTCCTGTTGGTTCTAATTCTTCCTTACAACATCACTAATGTGAAAATATGTTTAATAGGAATGTATATGTATAGCTTATATCAGATTGTACACCATCTTGGGGAGGGAGGGGGAGAAAAATTTAAAACTGAAAAGCTTATAGAGTGATTGTTGATAAATCAAAATAAATTAATAAAAGATAAAAAATTTTTAAAAAGGAAAAATATTTAAAAAAAAGAAGATTCCAAAGTCCTTGGAATGTCTTCCTCCATTTTTTGACCTAATAGTTCTCTTTGATTTAGTGAAACTAGCTGTACTAAAAAGATAACTCCTTTATCTATTTTCTGTAGTAAATGAAGACTCATCTTTCTTATTTTTTGTTTCATGTAACGTATAAACATTGCTTGCTGAATTGTGAATGATGTACTCCTCATGAACTGGTGGTAGAGAATGCCACATTCTGAGTGTAGTAAGACCTGTGCCCTGATTCCTTCTTACTTGTTGGCTTTAGCTAGTCAAATTGATAAAAAAAATCTATACAACATAAAGACAGAAAAAGTGAGACAATCCTGGAGTTCATAGTCTAATTGGGTAAAACATCACATATAAGAGAGTTTTGTTGTGAGGTGTATATGCAGAAGGCAAGGCCCAAGGAGCAGGAGGGTGCATCAGTACAACAGGCAGCAGTGCATTCTGGTCTACAAGTTGTAG